CAGGCACGGGAATATGAGCAATGTTTTATTTATGAAATAATGTTTTCAATTTCATAACAGCACGGCTGTCTTCCCTTCATCTCCAGTTCAGTATGCACTTTAATTTTTAATACTTATTTCCCCTCAGAGGGTGGATGGAGACGCTAACTGTTCCATATCAGGAGGATTATTTTGGCATGTGAGAATACGATTTTAACTGAGTAAGAAAGAGAAGGCTGTAATGGCTCACCTCGAGGATGTTTGGCCGGTTTCAGTAAACACAGCCTTGGTTTATCGTGGAGTGAACCATAGCGGAATCATTTTTCCCTGTTCATGAATACCTGCGTTTACATAATTGCTGATTTCCTTTGAATTAGGTACTCATGAGAACATGATTTCTTTGTAGGCTATTTAATTAGTTATATTTGAAAGGACAAATATAGCAGAATAGTATTACAGAAATGGAAAGTAGCAAACTATGAAATATGCCTACAACACTAAAGGACATAGCTCATTAGTGGCCTGGGTCAGGCTCTGCAATAGAAGGTTAATTACATTTTCTTTTGTCTATTAAGTTTATTGGTATATTTGGGATATACATGAAGATGGCGTTCATGATTGGGACTTTGTACCTGCACATGATGGAAGGTTAATTTTAAATTGTGATTTGGCCAATGATTTCTATCAAAATCTCCACTTCGGCTGACAATTAAGAAATTTATGTGGTAGTGAAGAGTACATAGAATGCTCTAGATGATAAAATAGAAAGAAGTTCAGAGTAGTTTCATCTCTCTCTTTTAAAACATACTTAAAAGCTCTAATAATCCAGATAATCATTCGCTCCGGCAGAAAAGTTTAAATCTGTGAAATATCATTAAAGGGTTCATTAATGAATCTTTGTAATTGTGTGATTGATAGACTTTTAACAATCCTGCAACAAAAATTCCTTGAATTTGTGATAGGGATTCTAATTGTGGTAGAAAAATTGGAAACCCATATGCAAAAAAAAAAAAAAAGGGAATATCAATCATTTCTTCATACCACATGCAAAAATTGGGACAAAATGAATGATAAAATAGAAATGTAATAACTAAACTTCCCAACTTTTAGCAAAATATACATCACATGAGAAGTCACTTTAGGGCATTTGAGTTAGGTGTGAATATTGCAGCAGAAGTGAAATTTTTAAAAGAAGTGAATCAAGTATCTGGTTGATACAACCCTAACACTTGGAAATCTCAAGTGACGTAGTACCTTCTCCTCTTTCTCCCACTGGGACTTAATACCTAACATGGAAAACTCAGAGAAGGAGAGCTTTGTTTTTGTTCATGGATTTTAGAGGATGCCCTTTAACCTGATTGGCTCCAAGGCAGGAGGAAGTCTGCTCACCTCATGGTGGTCAGGCAGCAAAGACTGATGGGAAGAGCTGAGGCTGGGGAAGGAGATGTGTGCCCTTCCGGACCATACTATTCACCCCGTCCTTTTGCAATCTCTTCCTGCCTCCTACCAACACACATTTAGCTGTGTGAACTCATCAGTGAATTCATCCACTCATGACTACAGGGCCCCCATGATCCAATGTTCCTCATAAAAGGACCCTCACTACTAAATGCTGTAGACTTTTGCTTGACATTCTAGCTCTGAACTGTGACCAACTTAAGCAGCCATCTTTGCCACCTTCTTTAAATAGTAAACCTGTATTTGACATATAAAATTGCAAATTCTCTTACAGGTATTTAGGCAAGGGACATGAAATCACACACACACGCGTACACACACACACACACACACACAGGGAACAAATATTCACTGTAGTTTTATTTGTACTAACCAACAATGGCAAACAGTCCAAATATCCACCAACAAGTGAATGGATAAACAAAAATGCAGTCTATCTACAAAACAGGAAACTGTTCAGCCATGGAAAAGGAGCAAGTAATGGTAACATGAATGTGTTTGAAAATGCTGAGTAAAAGATCCAGACACAAACGATCTTGTTTTGTGAAAAAGCCCATTTCTATGAGACAAGTAGAAAAAGTAAAACTTCTTTTCTTCCTTTCTTTTTCTTTTTTCTTTTTTGGTACTGGGGATCAAACTCAGGACCTTGTGCTTGCAAGTAGGTGGCAGAACCACTGAGCTAAATCCCTGGCCCTGTACAACTTCTAAGGAAAGAAAGTTGATGTGTAAAAGTGCGCATTGGCTTACACGGTACCTAAAAATATACAAAAACAAGTTTAGAAAATCGATGGAAATATTCTCAAATTGGATTGTACCAATAGCTGCACAAAGTCATAAATTTCTGAAACTCCCTGTGAGTTTGCACTTGAACAGCTTCATTTTCTTTTCTGTAATTTATTCAGTAAATCATACAGAAGAATGCCGTCACGTCCTTAAACCTGACCCTTTTGTCAGCAAAAGTAGAAGTGGGATTTATTGAAGGTGGGACTTTCCAGGGAGCTGTAAATATGTTATGAAAATCGTGAAAGCACCATGCATTGGTGGAACGTTTTTCTCAAATTGGTTGCGAGTGTCTGCTGAGCACATCCTTCTGGAAGTACGGCCGATCCTTTAAAGTTTGTGGGCTAATCTGGAATCCAGGAGGATTTGGTATCCATGAGTTGGGGAGAAGAAACCTCACATGTGGCCCAAGAAGATGGGCGACATGGACCAGCAGAGCTGTGCAGAAGCGAGCTTCGTGAGAGAGAAGGGGCATTAGATTAATTTCAAAGGGTGAAAAGTAACTTCCGCTTTATGGCCTTGAGGTAAAGATCATCTTCCCGCCATCTGTAGAAGGCAGTCTAAAGGAAAGATAGTCAAACTTGGAAGGGGCACGTTTTTTGCAAGAGAGAGCGAAACCGGTAATCGATCGTGGGAACACATTTTCTTCCCTTATCCACCATGTCTGGTTAACACATTTATTTTGTCTCTTTTTTTTTTTTTCAAGTGAAAGAGCCGCCTGTACCTGTTTCTATAGAAACGGAAAATGCAAGCAATACGTCTCGCTGTCTGAATTAATGACATCGTCTTTAGACTATTGCTCAAGAAGGGTTTGTTTTCTAACACTCCAAGGAGGATTTTATTGGTTGTCTATCGGCGACCTCTGGGAAGGACATTCTTTTTAGACCTTATTGTGTAATTTAGAGTAAGTTCATCAGGAAGGTGGTTTTGAAATAGGTTTTACATCGAGAAGCCCAAAACACAGTCCGGCCGACTCAGTGAACACAAATGCTTCTTTCTAAAGTGTTTTCGACATCGAGTCTTTAACACAAGGACAGAATTCTGTAGCGAGCTGATAATTATGTAAATCTGACATTACTATCACAACACATTCTAAGGCTTTGGAAATGTGTTTTAATGAGAAGCTTTCTGTTTTCGTTTATTTTGCTATTTTTGTTGTTGTCATTTTGTTTTTTCCCTTTTCTGGCTCATTTTCACCTAAATATTCACTCACTCATTTATGTACTTTTTTTTTTTCCTATTAGTACATGTTGGTTGTTTGTAATTATCACTTTTATCGTGGGCAGTGGGTCCATGTGAGAAGCACATCTTAACTCTTTTTTTCTTCACCCACCTCTACCTCTCTCATACCCTTCCCATCAGCAAAAGCTCTTTTGTACCTTCTAGTTGGTGAAAAGTTCATATGTGGGTGTTTTAAGTCATTACACGGCTATATGGAAATAGCCCTATGACTAACATCCTCCAGAGTTTCAGCGGGCTGCCATGGGAACCCTTCCAACCAGCAAAACCTCAGGAAACACTGTAGCGTTTTTCTAGCCCCCCACCTGGATCAGGCTGACCTAGAGTTTGGAGCCACAGGAAATCCCCAGCATTTAACCTTTGCTTCACACAACACAAAAGGGACATCAAAACTTGGTTTTCAAAACGTTTTTAAGCAAACTATGTGCGATGAAGACTCTGGATACACCCGTTTTCTCTCTGTGCATTAAACTGACTCAGCCCAGCCTCGTGGGAGGTGTGTGCAACAATCAAGGAAATACTTTATGCACAATTCAGTGCTTGAGCCACATCTATCTGGAAAACATGAAAATGAAATGGGACAGTAAATACAAAGGATTGATTTACGAGTTTGGGGGTTAGGATTTAAGATTTTGCCTACATTTTGCTTCAATGGAAATTTCTGCACAGATGTTAGTAGAACTGAACAAGGTGGGTGACTTCAGTTTTTTTCTAGGTTCCATAACATTACTTGTCCAATCGTACTTACAGTGTGTGTTCAACACACCATTATGACCTGTAATGCTTTGTCTTGACTGTATAATTTTTTTGCAAATAATGCTTATTTTTATAGAATAAACAGGGGTCTTGGTTCCTCTAACCACTCGATACAGGTGAATATGATTTAAGTTAATCTAAAGCTTACCTGATTTTTTAAAGAAAAATTTGTGTCTTTACATTTTTATCGCATGAAGCCAATGCCAGTTTTATAAAATTATGCTTAATTTCCTTATGTTTGGACTGTTTCAATGTGTTTTTGCTTACCGTGTGGATCCTCCTAACCAAACTATTTCATTGATGTTTTTCAAAATTAATTTAGATTATAACATGTTAAAATTAGAGAGCCATTGAATCCTTCATCTGTTTTTTTTTTAATATGGGAAATCTCTTTTCTAATAATTTTATTTTCTCTTTTAAAAAAATCACATTGACTTTATTTATTTAATTTATATATTTATTTTTTGCAGTAGCTTCATTTTAATCCCAAACAGCATTTTCACAGGATGCCTAATATTTTTTACCAGTAACATTTTGAATTTGTCGTTCTTGACACCTTTATGTTCCTATGCGTTTTGTATCACCCTATTTCATTTTTTTTTTTTTTTGAAAATCAAATGTAACAGACTTCAACTTTTTTTGTTACATTCTTCTTCTTCTTCTTTTTTTTTTTTTTGTCTTTTTCTTTTACTGGGTTGCATCTCTCTCTTTTCTGGATTTTTGGCAAAACTGTTGTTTTTGAATTCTCTTTTTCACCCCTTTTATTTTCCTGTTCAATGTGACCCCAGGAGCCAACACAAAGAAAGTCGCTGATGACATAACCAGTAATGATCGTGGTGATGATGAAGGTATTTTTTGTTTTTTCAAAGCTCGACCTTCTTGCATGATGCTATTCCTATCTATCTCTCTTTTTTTTTTTCATTTCAATCTGTTTTTCTTCGTCTTATTGGAAAGTAGTACACTTCAGTGTGCTTCTTCATTTATTTCCTTCTTTTACAACCCACTGTCATTTTTAACTCCAGTTACCATATAGAGGCCTGGAAATTACTCCAGTTAAATGAAACATTGTTTCTAGTCATAAATGAGTTAAAAAAGGCTTTGTACAAAGCTGCCTGCCACCTTTTTTGTTTTTATTTTTTTGCATTGGTTGCAAGACGAGAAAATGGAATTTTACAACATGCATGGATACTCTCTTTTCTTTCTTCCCAACCTTATTTTGTGACTTGTGTTTCAGAACTTGGGTTTTTTTCTTTTTTTTTTTTCCCATACACTGCAAGACACTTGGACAACGGAATCATAAGATTTTCACGGTGGGGGAGTTGGGAAGGTGGGAGTGGAAATGATTTGGTTTTTGATTGTTCTCTATAGCTAGTTGGATTCCTAAATGGGTTTCAGAAACTCTGCTCACAGTAAAGTACGTTAAAGGGTGTTTTCACCAGATGTTATTTTTCCTTTCAGGACTGCCTTTTAGCGCCTTCTAAACAAAAAATAAAGATACAGTTATCATAAGAATGAAAGACAGGCAAAAATGCTTGCTTTGTATATTGCTGTTTTTACCATGGCTGTCCAGAAAAACATTTTTTTACCTTCCCCATTTCACTGATTTAGCAATGGAACACTGATTTTCTCTCTTTTTTTCTTTTGTACAGGGGGGATCAAACTAGGGACTTCACCCTTGCCAGGCGGGCACGGCGCCCCTGAGCTACATCCCTGGCCTGGGAACATTGCTTTTTCAAATTTCCGGATGGGTAATCGCTGAAAGGGAAAGGATTTTTCTTTACACTCTGGGCTGTCTGTGGTGTTTTCACGCAGGCAATTAGCACACTGTATTCGTCCCCTTCCATAGAATAAAGGGTGTAAAAGAGAAGAGACACAGAAATACTGAGATGAGATTTTAGGGTTTGGCATGGTTTTCAGGATGAGTGAAAACATGGGTTTTTCCCCTCGTTCTGGGTGACAAAATGCGTGGAATTTCTTCACATTAAAGGATAAGACCCCGAAAACCTCGTGGGTCTTTCCGTGAGGAACAATTGAGGCTGTTCCCCTGAGTTGACTACCTAGATGGGGTCACGCTTTCCTTGATAAGAACTTCAGAAAATCTAGCACTGCCCAAAGAACTACAAGACAGCAAAGTGGAACACCTTCAAACCCAATGTCACACTCTACTCTGTTTCTTTACTGTTTGCCTTTGACGATTAAGGCCTGTTTTCATAATTTTTCTTCCAAAGTCACCTTATGGCCTTTAAAATACCATCTCATTTTTACTGAACTCCGGCCAGCTCTAATGGTTTTTAACTCTGAGTCTGTAAGGCGCATGCCCTATTACTTCCTGTAGTGCCAGAGGAAATTAACTGTGACTCGATCACTCTCATTTATCTTCCAAGAGAACGTCCTGAAGCAACTTTCCGAGGCTCGTTCTCCTTTCCACAGTGTAGTGGCCGACAGTCGGCAATGATCACACAATAAAAAGAACGAATCAAAAGCCAGAAAGGGAAGTTTGTGCCGAGTGCCATTCCTTATTTAGCAACTGTGGATTAAAAAAAAAAAAAAAAGTGGAAAAAACATAGTATATGAGTAATTCATGACACACAGAGTTTGTTTTTTTAGCCTTATATTATAATTTTCTATGAGAAAATTTAAAAAAATGTTTTTCTGCTCTACGTGAAAGACCAGAAACTGTTTGAGAAGCTGGACACTCTGTGCTGTACATTGCTGTGAGCAGTGGATTTGGGGAACTGGCTCTTACACAGCGCGAGAAGTGGTCATTGTCATTTTATCTGATTATCGCCCCCACACAGTACGGGGATGATCCCTTCCTTCAGAGCTCCTTTCTGAAAAGAAATGGCAGCCGGCACTGGATCGAATGACCCCAGCCACCCAAAGGGAGGACCTCATGTCTTCGCAATTCCTTTGAGAGATTTCCTGGGAGTCCCTGTGAGCTAGAAAAGAAAAAGAGAAAAAAGAGAGAGGAGAGAGAAAATAAATGCAGAGATACATCCGTTTTCACCTACTAATGGACAGTTGCCCATTCATACCCACATCGACATCTGAGTTTATCACTGTGCTCGCTCTCCCCCAGAATTAAATGTGAGCCACAGGCATAAATCACGATAGGCAGGTTAAATAATCATAACTTTTTAGACAAAAGCTCTGCAGATGTTCTTTTCTCATAGACCACTGTAAAATATTATTTTTAGCTACTCGTTAATTAAAATGAGTGATTATGAGGACTACGCATGAGTTTCAGACCCTCCAGGGAGTTTACATTCCCTGTGAAAACACAAAGCAATAACCTGATTTCATCTCGGTTCGGGTCTCCCTTGCCATTGGCATGACATGTCTGTTCCTTTAGTCATTTCAATATGTTGAGAGAGAGAGAGATAATTAACAGACAGTTCTTGGTTCGGGAAAAAGAACAAAGATATTTGTTTGACTGTTTGGTTAAAAGACATATTTCTCTTCCCCTGTTGATTTTCAACATTTTACAAAGATGTTGGTCACCTGTTCTACATTGTCTAATTCCACTCCCACTTTTATGTTCTGCTTTCCAATAGTTTCACCACACGGTCAGGTGGCAGCCGTATTAAAGTTAGGCTTTGGAAGGCGATTTTACGGCTCTTTATTTCTTCATTATAGGAAGAAAATATATGCTGCTGAGGATGTCATGTGCATCTTCAGCTCATACCATATTTCAGGATTGGAGCAAAATTTGGGAAATACGTACTTTATCTTCAGCCCTTTTATACATTTTATATACAAATGTATAGAGGAGAAAAGGGGGACACTTCCTTTTGGAGAAATATTATCCCACGTTTCTGTTTGCTTCTCAAAGTGTAATCTAAGTGAACAGAAAATCTAACATCGGCTATTATCCTTGGACAATGTTAGAAACACTCTACTGTTCTTAACACACATGGGATACCTGGGAGTCATCACACACACTGTGAATCTCACTTGCACTTTACTAGCTGGGAAAAATCGTGGCCAGGCCAAACTCACGTCTATTGCCCTACACCGAGTCTGTAGGTTTCTAAGCTAGAAAGGACTGGAAGAAGACGTGGCAATACCCGTAACCCCCGGCTCTCTGGGAGGCTGAGGCAGGACTACGTGCAGCTCCCTGGCAGCCTGGATGACTTAGCAATTAAGTGAGCTCATGTCGCCCACTAGAAAGGAAGGGTTGGGAATGTAGCTCAGTGCAAAGCTCCTGGTTCCAATCCCCAGTGCCGTGAAATAAATACATAGGGTTGATTCACCTGGCAGCTAGGAAAGTTAAGGAGCCCCCCTTGCGACCTTTTGCAAGCCCGTGTTCCCCATGCGATTCTTTATTGTGTGTCCTTACTTGACTCTTTTTCCAGACATCCATGACCAGAACACTAAGAAGCCAGTGATGGTCTACGTCCACGGCGGTTCGTACATGGAAGGCACCGGGAACATGATAGACGGCAGCATCCTAGCGAGCTACGGGAATGTCATCGTCATCACCGTTAACTACCGCCTGGGCATCCTGGGTAAGTGGCTCGGTCCTGCAGCGAACTGAGCCAAATGTGCTGTGCAATCTCTCCTTTCCGTCTGCACACCGGGCCTCTGGCATTTGTCCCCGACTCTTGGAGAACCCTCTCGTGAAGGCTTTTTCTGGCTTCGACTGGGGAGCTTCCTTGTTTTCTGTACTTTTATTGCTAATTGCCATTGCTTTTGGGAGTTTGGGGTCCTGTGGGGTTAGTTTCTTAGAAGCTGAATCGAGCCTCTCCCCCAAGCCAAGTGAACCCTCATGGACACTGAGAGGGAACAAAGCTTTCATGAACCACGACAGCTTCCTTTGCTGGAGATTGCTGGTAGGCTAGACTTGCAAAGCCAACTGGGATTTGGTGACTACAGCTGCTTGGCTGTTCTTGGTGATGCTCTTTTCTCGGTGTGCAGAGTTCCTGTTCACTCTGCGCTCAGTCAAACCCTTTTCCCTCATTGCCACCTAGTTGTGTTGGACCTTCACAATCTTCCGCGGGTTTCTGTTACCGTATTTGTGTGCAGTGAGACTCATCTCTTCACTGAACTTGCTTCTGTATCTTTGGCAAAGGTCGGGAAGTAGAGAAAACTCCGTCCTTTAGGCCCTTCTTCCGAGTGTGGTGCGGAAATCTGCACGTTTACGGGGAGGAGGACGAGTTCCAGATTTCTTTGTTCCACATGTTGCCTGCTGTTGTTGCCTCTTACAAGAGTGATATTGTTCGTAGACGCAGGCAGAAAGCATTTGATTGCAGACCAGAAAATACTTTAAAAAGGTGCGGAAAATGAAGTTTGGTGACAAGTGGCTGTATAAAATGGGAACAGAGTGAGACGGACGGACGAAGTTGAGGAAAACAGGAAGTGTGGCTGGAATGGTTTTCACCACGTAGGTAATTATGACCGGCAATATTTTCTTTCCTCTTGGCTGATTTTATTCCCCACCTAGTGGCTTTTTTTCATTTCTGTGTGAAGAGTAACCCACCTATCAGGGACCCCAAGAGATGGTAAGTGCCAACTTCCTCCTGCACTAGAAATTTAACTTGAAAATGGAAATTCTCAGGGTCCCCATAGCTGCGCCTTTTGAAAAGCTGATAAAGTGCTCAGCGTTTCACAACTGAAGGGCATGGAGAAACAACAACAACAACAAAAAAACACTCAGTATCAAGAACCCCATTATTTCATGTTTTATTTCTTCTCTGTTTTTCTTTTTCCCAAGGGTTTCTGGAAGCACAGTCTTAGTGGCACAATTCAAACTAACTTTGGAATGTCCCTATGAGTATTTTCATAAGCTTCTGGTTAGTTGCTTTGGAGACTTGTGTCTGATGTTTCACAAAAGCCCCATTCTAACAAAAAAGTGGAGAGGAAACTGTGTTAAGGTCCCTTCACACAAGGTCTTTTCAAAGAGTCCGGTGGCCCACGGTTAAGTCGCACTTTGGGAAACCAAGAAAACTGTTTCGTACAGTGACAGTTACTGGACACAGTCTTGCTTTAAAAAAAAAAAATCACAAAATACAGTCACATGAATGATTGAAAGATACTCCAGTAGGGGTTAGAGTTCAAAGAAATTGATTTCCTTGTCTGGCTAATGCTGAGTTACATTAAGTAGCTCGGTGCTGTGATTTCTTTATTGGTTTCAGCGTTCTAGAATCAAAGACAGCCAGGGCAAAGCAGCCTGGATGGATACGCTTATTTTTTTTAAGAGGAAAGAAAAAAAAATAATGTTGAAATATATGAAGGGTTCCTTTTGCCACTCAGAGCCTGGAAAAGAAATGGTGATAAGAGAACGCTTGCTGTAATGGCAAGGGTGTCAAAGAGTTGATTTAGCATGTCTATGCCGTACCGATTCCATTCTGAATGAGCTACCCTGAAAAGCTGAGCACACCACAGACCTGCTTTTATGCTGGGGTGCAGTGTGCCAGCTCTGCAGATGCCTGGGGGGAGATAGAGACTTACCCATGTGCCTGGCTCTATCTTCATCATGAATTCTGCGTTTTCTGTCTCCCTCTCTGAAAGCGGGGGGGGGGCATCATTTGCTTTTTGCTTACAGGAATCCACTAGGATCAGTCCCGAGAAAATATCTGCAAACCTTTGGCATCCACATATTGAAAGCAGGATTCAAATATAAACAGCACGGCCTAGGGGTGCAGCCCAGGGACAGCCTGCATGCTTAGCATGCTCAAGTTGCTGACTCAAATCCCAGCACCCAAACACATAAAAACCAAGCCGTGGATGAAGAAAACAGCCCAGGGCACACTCCCTCGACCGTTTCAGAGGGTGATCTTAACAGAAACAGATACACTGCTACCCTGAAAGTCAGCAGTGTCTTTCAATTGTTTTGTTTTGAGAAGCATGATGGTTATTTCTTTACTCGAGGAAAGGAAAACATTGCTTCAACTTACTATCTATGTGCTACAGAAGGATAAAAACATGTTTTTTTCTTACCTACAAAGGAAAGCTGATGAGAAAAATTATGCTAAAAAAGGACAGTAGGCTAGAGAGGGCGAAAGAGTGTAAATGTTACCATGAAACAGACATTCGCCAGAATCTTTACCTGTATCTCTGTCCCAAGAGTCTTAGAAAACCAACCGACTTCCTGACGCCCCTTCTCTCCCCCACCCCTTAGATTTAGGGTGCCTTCCCCGCCTCTGCACCCAGCACTTTGCTTTAGGGATGTGCGGACATATTCTCCAGGGATAAGAGGTGTGACCGTTGTCCTGGATTAGTCTGATCTGATTTTCTTGGGGATCACGTAGATTAGGTCATGAAGGCACGACCTTGGAGTTCATATGTGGGCAGGGGAGGGGAGTGCACCATAATCCTAAGGGGTGGGGGAGAGGGGA